CAACAATTCTAATGAAATATTGACTGATTTCAGCCTCTCCATGCTCAGCGCTCTCTGAGGGTATTTACGGTCAAGGATGTTCATCCAACTTCGTAGTCTGCTTCAAGAAACGAACCCTTCTCCTCAGCTGTCCTCACACACTTGCTTTTGATGCAGTAACTAAACGTTGCCTACCACAGGTTAATCGCTTATAAATGATACATATTACGATACATTACGATTGACCAATTGTACAACTGTACAATACAATAATACGACACTTCGAATCGAAATACGATCAGCCAATCGAACAATTTTTAGCCATTCATTCAACTGATTTCTCACAAAAATTACTACTTCAGTCGATTCGAAATGAAAACTCGGCAATTTATAACTTACTGAATGTAAGGCTTTGAAACTTGCAGGCATACGTGTTGGCATGTACTGAAACAAAGATTTCAATCGTGGATGCGTTACGCAATGAAACTGAAATTGACCAACTAACATCAGCGTCTACTTCGATGCCAGAAGCGAGCGAAGAAGTCTCAACCATCGCTCTTGAACCCACACACCCAATGCTTATCAAACCATCCTCGACGCCATCGACCATCAGTCACATGCCAATGTTCGCTGCTCCACAAGGTGCGGACAGTTTTTTAACTGACTGAGATCTGCGTTGAGACCTGAGCAGTAACCAATAGTCTATGTCTGTTCTCAATCACTAGATAGGGAATACACGAAGCAATCCACAGCAGTCCAAGTTGACGGAGTAATTCTGCGCCGAACGGTACCATTGCTTTTTTTTTTTGAGTTCGCACTTCAACCTCAATATTCAAACATATTTTCAACGAACAGCTTCCTATTCAGAATTATGCATCAACGAACCAACGGGATCATTCTCATTCGGATGTTCCTCATTTTATGCGGTTTGCTCGTACGGCAAAGCACACCTGGAGCTTTGTGAAGGCAATCTGAGATTCGATATTGAGTCGGGAGTTTGCGTTGAGGAGGTTTGTTGAACGAATAAATTTGCTCTTTTTTGACCAGTGCTCATCGTATGTTACACGTGCGATTTGTCTGATCAGCCTAAGAATCATCCGTTCCATCACACACATCTCTCCCATGTATTCCCACTCTTCAAATTCTATTCCATCTGAATCAATGCAGTTTCCGTGAACTCTTCAAACAGTTCAAGTTGTTTGTCCATATGAGTGCCCAATTTCCATCCCTTCCGTCGGATCTCCAAATTGCCAGAATATTCAAATTGTTAGCTCAAAGAATACCGACATTTCAGGTGTTTGTTGATGCATGTACTGAACACCTGACAACCGAACCGACCACACCAACCACACCAACCACCGTATCTTCTGATGCAACATCACCGTGTCCAGGGTGCCCACCGTGCATCGT